ATTCATATGGAGGCACAAAAGACCCCGGACAGAAAAAGCAGCCCTGAAAAGAACAATGCTGGGGGGATTACTATGCCAGATCTCAAAGTATACTATATAGTTATAGACGTAGAAACAGCATGGTAGTGACACAAAAATAGACACATAGATCAATGGAACATCATTGACGATCCAAACCCAAGTACATGCAATTTCAGCCACCTAATATTTGACAAAGGTGCCAAGAACACACAATGGAGGAAAGACAGCATCTTCAACAAATAGTGCTTGCAAAACTGGATCTCTACCTGTAGAAGAATGAAACTACATCCTTATCTTTCATCTGGCACAAAGTCAACTTCAAATGGATTAAAAACCTCAATGTGAAACTGGAAACCCTGAAACTATTAGAAGAAAACATTGACAGTAACATACAAGATATAGGTGTAGGAAAGGACTTTCTAAATTGGACACCAGTTGCTCAGGAATTAAGGTCAAGAACCAACAAGTGGGACCTCATTAAACTAAAAAGCTTCTGTTACAGCATGATCAAAGAAGTGAAGAGAAAACCCAGAGCATGGAAAAAAATCTTCACCAGCAACACATCTGACAGAGGTTTACCATCCAGAATATATAAATAACTCAAAAAACAAAGAATCAAGAAAACAAATGACTCGACTAAAAGATGAGCTAAAGATCTAAACAGAGAGTTCTCAAAGGAACAAATAAAGATGGCTAAGAAACATCTTAAAAGGTGTTCAACATTGTTAGCAATTACGGAAATGCAAATTAAAACCACCTTAAGATTTCACCTTACCCCAGTCAGACTGGCTAAGATCAGGAGAACAAATAATACCAAATGCTGGCAAGGATGTGGAGAAAGGGGAACACTCATTCACTGCTGATGGGACTGTAAACTCGTGCAACCCCTATGGAAAGCAGTGTGAAGAACTCTTAAAAAACTAAAAATGGGGGCTGGAGAGATGGCTCAGCAGTTAAGAACACTGGTTGTTCTTGCAGAAGACCTGGGTTTGAATCCCAGCACTCACATGGCGGCTAACAACTGTCCATAACTCCAGTTCCAGGGGATCCGACAGCCACTTCTGACCTCCACAGGCACTTCACAACACAGGTGAACTTACCTACATGCAGGCAATACATGCATACACATAAAATAAAAATAATAAAATTTTTTTAAAAAACAACTAAAAATGAACCTACCATATGACCTGGTTATACCACTCCTCAGCATATACCCAAAGGACCCATTCTATTGCATTTGTACAACCATGCTTGTGGCTGCTCTTTTCACAATAGCTAAGAGATGGAAGCAACCTAAGTGCCCCTCAACTAATGAGTGGTTAACAAAAATGTGGTACACGCCTTTAATCCCAGCTCTTGGGAGGCAGAGGCAGGTGGATCTCTGTGAGTTCAAGGCCAGCCTGGTCTACATAGTGAGTTCCAGGACAGCTGGGGCTACAGGGAGACCCTGTCTCAAAAAAAAAAAAAAAAAAAAAAAAAAAAAGAATCTAGCTAGTATAAAAAACCAGAGGGAATCATATTAGTCCAAAAACCTAATGCAAAATTAGACATACAGTAAATGGGAGTCCACGAGCATAGCTGAAGACTATATAACAAGAAACAGAGCCAGACAGGAGAAACCTTCCTTTGAGTTGTTGGCCAGGCTAGTCCAAGAGACTCCCAAAATTACACAGGCTATTGACACAGCCCTTGATTGCCTCCCAGAACTTGATGGTAAGACCCTACTGCTGAAGATAGGACATATTTTGGGTACAGGATTTGGAACAATGGAGCTGGGACTGACCTGGTAGCCACCTCCCCAGAAGGCTAGCTCTCGTAGCTTTGGAGAGCACTACACAAGCTGGTAAGGGAGAACATCAATCAATGATCCAACCCCAGCTTCAAGGCCTAAAAACCACATCAATGACCAGCACAGCAAATGACACTGGTGTAGTAGTGGCACTTTTATCTTGGGAGTAATCAACAGCAACCTAACTGGACATAAACCCCACTCAATAGGAGGAGTCTCAGCATGGTACTGTAAACCTAGCCAAATACACATAGCTGGAGAGGTCATAGATCGTAGAGAAAACCCCAAGGTTCTCATATCCTTAGGCTAATGTAGTTTCTTACTATGTGGAAATATGGATCCTTAAATTTACAGACAAGTATCCCAGTCACCACCCATCAAAGTAGCTTTTTTTTCAACAGACAGAGATTATTACAGTTACACCACTGGTCACACCCAGAGATTCTGTGAATTGCCCAAGCCTAAGTGGCACATCTAGGATGCAACCTCTACACCTAAGGCTCACAGAACATAGAACAAGGGATGAAGTGAGCACTAATGCATCTTTCAACTCTCCTCAATGAAGCTCCCTCATACAACAGAGGGCCAGGAACACAAAAGGCCACAAATGGCCAAAAAGCAGAGGCTGAGTCTGCAGAGTGTGGGTCCTTGGACAGGACTCCTGTATTGATATTTACCCACCTGGGGCTCAGGGACCATTACAGAAGAGGGGGCAGAAATAAGAGCCAGGGGGGAGGTGCATGGCCATAGGGAAATAGTTCTACAGGTGCCTAGGACCCTGGTCATACAAACCTGCAGCCTGCACAAGACCCATGCAAACTTAGGCAGACAAAAATCCAGGACAGAACTGTGGAAACGAACAGCAGGCCCCACCTTAGTCAAAAAATTATTGGCAGCTGATTACTACTGGGTGAGGAAGAGCTGATCTTCTTGAAGGGGGAAGACTCCAGATAGGCTGACTAAACCCTGGTGGATGAACTTGCACTGAGGGACATCTCAGGCCACTAACTTTACATAATAGGCCTTAATACAAATGACAGAATGTCTGAACTCCAGTAGGGGGCTATGGGAGGGTGCCAAAGGGGAAGGGGGCAGAATGATGATTTTATACATTAAATACACAAAAATTCAATAAAATTTTTTAAATTGTAATTAAAATTTAAAAAAAAGAAAAGTAGCAGAGAGAAGGAGCAAGCCAGTGAGCGGTTCCTCTATGGTTTCTGCTTGAGTTCCTGCCCTGACTTCCCTCAGTGATGAACTATCACCTGGAAGCATAAGCCAAATAAACCCTCCCGAGATGCTTTTGGTCATGGTGTTTACCACAGCAACAAAAAGTAAACCAGGACACTGTTCCCTCAGCAGTGTTCAGTGAGGGTCACTGAACATCTTACTCATCATGCCACCAATCATGGGTGCAGATGGGGAAGAGGCAGTGTTTGCTGAGGCTGCAGGGAAAGGTGTGAGGAATGCTGGATGAATAGGAGCAGGTCACAGCTAAGCTAAGGCTTAAGCGGAGCAGGAAGGGTTGGTCAGAACACGGTTGGAGAGAAGGGCATTTAAGACCCCAGAACACAGTAGTAAGAACACAGCACCTGGGACTCTGGATATGGTCTAGAATGGAGGGGACAGGTGCCAGAGGATCCATCATGCACCATGAGGGACCTCTAGATGAGATGATGGGCAGCTACAGTAGGCTTGCCACAGAGGGCATTGTGTTTCAGAAAGATCCACAAAATGTAATACAGGGAATGCATTTGACCTGGGAGGGAGGCTATGATTGTTATCCAAGGAAAAGATGCTGAGGCAGAAGCCAGGATGACCAAGTTCAGAACAAAGGGAAAAATCTGGGGTTATTCTAGAACTGTGCTAACAAAACAGCCACCAGTCATGTGACTGATAGGACTAGTGTAAACTGAGATACTAGAAGTCATACACAGAATTACAAAGAATAAGGACAAAGTGAGCTTTAAAGATCTCACTGACATTTTTACATATTTGTAGTGTGTTGACAAGCTATTTTGAATACATCTAAAAATACTTACATATTTGTGTGTAGTTTTTAGTGCGGCTACTAAAATAAATGTGTGACTCTCACTGTATTTTCACTGGACAGTGCTATTCCAGGATGGACTGCCTACTTCATATGGAACATGAAAGAAGGAACCTATCAGGGCTGGAGAGATGGCTGAGTGGTCAAGAGCACTGGCTGCTCTTGCAAAGGACCTAGGTTGGGTTCCCAGCACCCATGTGGTGGCTAACAATTAACTCCAGTTCTAGGGGATCCAATGTCCTCGTCTGGCCTCCACAGCCACTGCACACATGGGTGTACTTATTTACATATATGCAGGCAAAACTCATACACATAAAGAAAAAATAAATATTTTTAAAAAGGGAGTTCAGAGCGATGGCAGCAGGCCTTGTGTCCAGCAGGCAGCTCCATGCACTCTGGCAGCCACAGCCAGCAGTCACCCCTTCCCACTAAAGCTGAGGTTCCGTTCTATCAGCTCTTCCAGACATTACCCCAAGGCTCCTTGCTGGGATCTGACAAGAAGCAGTAAATGTGCCTGTGAGGGGCCATAGTACTCTGCTGGCTTGACTACACCAGAGCCCCAAGAAAAGTCCATGTAACACTGTCCAGAGTTCATGGCCCTTGTAGGCAACTGACCTAACAGTGCTACAGCATCAGAGGAAGGCTGCTGAGAGGCAGGGCCTGTGATTCCTGGGCTCTAGATGCTACTTCCTACAAGGCCTATTGTATGAGCTCTAACCTGACCTGTAAAACAGGCATTGTGGTGCCAATCCCTAGGGCTGCTGGAACTCAACAGAGATCACATATGAGCAAGTGCATGGTGAATTTTCACACAGGGCAACCTGACTGGCAGGTGTGTCTCTACGAAGCAGACCTTAGATCTCAGAATCACCCAGCAACCCAGTTCCAAACTACAGGCCTCTGAGCTCAGAGCAAGAATGCAGATTACTCTCTGGCCTAGATTTCTGGTGTAGTTTGGAAAACCTATTTCTTATACATCTTGTTAATATTATAATTTAAATGCTTATCTCCTCAAATCCAGCTCAAGTCAAAGAAGTGAGCCATTTCTGACTGCCTGTCCTGGCACGTACTAAGCCACCTCTCCTACCTCAGCTTGAGGCCCGCATCCCCACTCTTGATAGGGCACTTCACTTTGGTTACCTTGTAGGGCACTTCTCCGAGCCGGACCACTCTTGCTTGCTTCAGCCACGTGTCCCTGGAGTGCAGCGTATGCACACAATCCCTAAAGAAGGGTCATGAGGAGACAAAGGACAAACTGAGCACATATAGGCCTGGGAGGATGCAGGACCTCAGGGCCTCAGGTGAGCTTGCAGATGGGCACAGCTCTGTTCCCTGTGCTTCCCAAGGCCCATTCTGCAAAGAGCCTCTCTCTTGGACTGCCTGTGCCCACCTGTGACCCCTACCCTGATACAGCGTTCTTTCTGAGGCTTTGTACCTAGTCTCAGTACCACCACCCCCTTGCCAGGCTTTCCTCTTTGTCACATAGTCTTAAGTGGGAACTCTCTGTGTAGCCTGTGGGAGCTAGTAAAAGCCAGTAAAAGCCAGCATGAGCAGATGCTGTACTCACCAAACAGTGCCTCCTGAGAGTCTAATCTGAACAGTGCAGAAGGAGTGAATGTCCACAAAAGAAAGTGAACTCAAAGGGGACCATGGGGACTATGGGGACTAACCCCACAAGAGAACAGACCATGGTGGAGTATGATGCACAGTCAAGTCCTGTGATTAGGGGCAGAGGCACTCTGGCTTCACTGTCCTCCCTGTGACCAGAGTCACACACAGGCTTGCAGTTCTCCTTCCAGCACGGCCAAGCCAAGAGGCATGCTTACCTCTTCTTTAGCTTGCACCCACAACCTGTCTAAGGACAAGAGCTACTACGAGCAGGGACATCAGGCCTGCAGGTAAGGCCCCACCTGCTCCACAGCCTGAGCTATGTTTACTTGCTTTCTGCTGCTCTGTAACAAAACTGCAGCATAGCACAGCACAGCAGACATGACTGAACCCTGCCTGGATGCTCCCTGCAGTACCTTTGCCTTCATGAGCCTCAGCATCCTCACCCATCAGCTAGGGAGAAGAACTCAGCCTCTCTACCTCACATGGCTTAGAGGACAAGACACTGCAGGTGCAAGGACAGCACTTCTCTGTCAGGAGTCCCCTGGGCGCAGTCAGAAGCTCCATCCTAAATTCCTACTGAAGGCTGAACATCTCTGCCCAAAGAGACTGAGTCATCGTCATGGACTTCAGACAGGAGCAAAGAAAGTAAGTCAGAGGGGCTGATGGGTAAACAGCTAAGAAAAATAGCCAGGAAGTACAAAGTTTCCAGAATGAGTGTCTACTTCTAACCGTGTCACACGCGTCAGATTGGGTATTACCAAACCAGGAAACAGCAACTGCTGGTGAAAACATGGACCAATCAAAACCACTGTGTGCTGTTGGTCAAAGGTGAATGGTGCAGCCACTAAGTAAACAGTACAGCCATTCCTCAAATCGCAGAGTTGCCATCTGACCGGCACCAAAAGCCTGGACTCAACCAATATGCACAGCTGTATCATTGCCAACAGCCAAAGAAGGGAATCAGAACATCCACCAACAGGAGTAAACACAACAGTCTCTCAAGACGGGATACTATTCAGGCTTTAAAAAGGAAGAGGCTGGCAAGAAGGCTCAGCAGGTAAAGGTACTTGCTGTGCAAGCGTCTGGTGACCTGAGTACAATCTGTGGAACCCACATAAGGGTGGAATGGAGGAGCTGACTCCACAAAGCTGTTTTCTAACTTACACATGCACCATGCACACACACAATGATTTTTTTTAATATTTTATTTATTATTATTTTTATTTTATGTGTACAAGTGTATTGCTGCATGTGAGTGCACCCGTGCCACGTAATGCCGCAGAGGTCAGAAGAAGGCTTCAGATTCCCCTGGAACTGGAGTTAAGGACGGTTCGTAGCTGCCATGTGGGTGCTGGGAATCGAACTCGGGTCCTCTACAAGAGCAGTCAGTAGACTGCTGAGCCATCTCTCCAGCCCCACACACAATAATTTTAAAGTCTACACACACACATATCATGCACATACACAATAATATTTTTAAAAAAATTTAAAGGAAACCTAGGTATATGCTCTATAGATGAAACTTCAAGAAAAATGAGCAAGACAAAACCAAGTATTAATACTTCTTCGATCCCACTTATATAAGGTACCTAGGGTAGTGAAGTGGGACAGTGGTTACCAGGAACTGGGGGAGGGGAAGGGGAGTAATGTTTAATGGGGACAGTTCCAGTTTGAGAAGACCTAAGAGTTCTGGGGTGGATGGTGGTAACAGTCACACAGTAACATCATGGTGCTGAATGTCAGTGAGCTGTACACTAAAAACATGCTAAATGGTTACTTTTATGTTATGAACCAAGACTTCTGAATGATTATACCCTTAAGGCCTTCCATCACAGACCTGATACCTCTATTAGCTCTCGTGCCACGACACTTCCTTCCTCCTGTCTACTGTGGGGCCCATGGGAAGCAGTCAGGGAGGCCAAGTCTCTTTGCTGCCTTTGAGTGCTGGGTGTTGCAATCAACAACGGCCTGACCAGGGTCTGGGCCTCCTTGACAAGACAGCAAGATCCAACAAGGGATGAGACCCTAACCACAGTCTGGTGTGACTCCCTAACAGGGGCTCAAAGGCAGGAACTGTTCCCAGCCAGAGGACTAAATTCTCACGCTGGTTTCCCTACCTTTCCTTCCTTTCCATACTTTCTTCTGTTTTCCTATTTGTAACACTCCTACCTCTCGCTTTTTGGTCTTATGTACACATACACACACACATTTTAATTGTCCTCCTTTGATTTTATTTTTCCACATAATTTTTCCCCTTGGTCTGTTAATCCTTGTTTGATTTTCAAGCTTTACTCCCTTCACAGCGTATACACACACACACAGAGACAAAAGCTTATTCCTGAGAAAGCTATAAACTTCTGAGGTAACCTATCTTGTTTGATTTTCAAGCTTTACTCCCTTCACAGCGTATACACACACACACACACACACACACACACACACACACAGAGACAAAAGCTTATTCCTGAGAAAGCTATAAACTGCTGAGGTAACCTAAGTGAACAGATGCTAATTCCAGGCCACCAGGAGGCTGAGCCGCTATACATACCTGGAGTAGACAGGTTCTCCGCGACAGTACCCAAGGATTGCTGCTGTCTCAGGGTAGATGGCCTCGAATTTCAAGAGGTGGCGCTTCAGGGCATATAGAGGGTGGTTCTTGTATGTGCCAATGGCTGTAGGCAAAGGCTGGTCCAGATGCTTTGCCTGAAACTGCAAAGGCCAGACACAATGGTGAGCATGTTAGAGAAGTGAGGTTTGAGTGGTAAAGCCTGGACTCATGAACACTGACATAGTAATGCTGCAGTAGTAGTGCTGCCAGTGCAGTGCACCATAGATCAACCAGAAGCTAGGAAGCATCAGCACTCCTGCAACATGCACCAACTTCAGAAGGCCTACCCTAGTTCCAATCTGTACCTCGAGCCCTGGCAGACCAGTACCTACTCTACTAAAGATCTTCACAGGAAAATATGCTAGTTTTCTTCCCTAAGAAGGCCTGACCTCAAAGCAACATTGCTGGCCTACAGCAAAGGCTGGCTTCATCCACTTATGGGAAATACCCTCCAGTTTTAAGGCCACCACAATTTATATAAATCCTGCACTTCACTAAGGGTTCTTAGTTATCAGTAGGAAATCCCATTACTATGAAGGAAGTCCTGTTTCCTGAGCTCTCTTAAGCTTTTCTTTAGCAGTCCTTCAAAACACCAAGGGACTCCTAAGGATTGGCACCATGGCATAGCAGAGGCGGCCGGAACTCTGTAGAATGGGCATCCTCTGACACTTCAGTTAGGTACAATGCCTGTAGGATTCCCACTTAATCTATCAGCACTAAATAAAACAAAGCCAACACCGGATGCAGACCAGCCCTAAGGCAATGCTACATAAGCCTGTGTTCTCCCTATCCTGAGTGGCTAGAAACCAACCTCTGGCCAACATGAGTGGGTTTCCCACACAATGCAGAGCTCCACCCAGTAAGGCAACTGTGCACTGGAGCGCCTCAGACCCTCTTCCAGGTGCTAGGGCTCATTCTAAGGCCAAGTGTCTCAGGTGTGTTACATTTAGAAGTCTACTAAAACGCACCCACTCTGTCTGCCTTCTCAGTAAGCTAGAGAGTTCAGCATCCAAGCCCCCCGAACCCCCAGGAGATTCATTCTATAGATGTGAGGTATGTTGTTGTGCCTGGACATGCAAACACAGTGAGAAATGGGGGACCATAAATGGGTGAGTTATTCTTTCTCTCAGTATGAGTTATAGGGTTTGCATAATTACTTTCAAGGCCCAAACTAAAGTACACGGACTTCAAAACCCATGGCCCTGGGTTCAAAACCTAGGCACTTACTCTTCCAACTTTTTACCATTAAAATGATGGCAACAATAACACAGCTTTATCGTGTTGGTGTGATAACAAGAGAAATGATAATTATATACTTGTATACTTTATATTAACACATTTATAAATACATAATTAAACCACACTAAAAATACCAACTGGGCATACAGTGACTAAAACAGGAAGCAATTTTGATAATAAGAATAGCTCCTTGAACCCTGGGTGGCCAGTGCCTTACCTCCAAATCTTCTTTCTTTTCCCGTTCCGTAAATGGGCTCTGGTAGAGTCTCAAGGTTTTGGCCCACCAATCGGCATCAACCCGGCACTTGCGGGTTGCTGTCATCCAGGCTGGGTCATACCTCTGAGTGACATCTCGGACCCAGCCATTACTGTCAATGCCCACGACATAGGTCATGGGCTTGGTGGCGTATTTATAACAAGCCAAGGGCTGGTCTACCACACCGTGCACACAGTCTACACACACCCACTTTGCCTGTGGCTCACAGAACACCTCCAGCCACTGGTCTACACCAGCAGCTCTCCTGTCTTCTGCCTCTTCACCACCTCTAGAAACCTTCTTGCACCTGTTACTGCTTGAAGAGCTCGAAGATGCTGGAAAGCCTGGAGGCTCACGGTGGCTTCCACGGTGGGTCCTGGAGCCACCCTTAGACCTAGCCTTTGTCCTCTTAGGAGCTGGAGCCCTTTTCTGCCTTGAAGAGCCTGGCTCTGAGTTCTCATCAGAGGAAGAATGGGCCTCTTCACTGGAAAGTTCAAAGTCAGAGCTACTGCCAGCCTTGTCGCTCCCACTCTCTTTGTAAGACACCCTGGTGGCCACCCGCCGCACCCGGGCCCGGGAACGGCTCCGGGTTTCCTGCCCGAGCTCCTTTTCCTCACTGAAGGAGGGCCCTCTCCACTGCCTGCTGTAAGCAGCAGTCTTGCTCTTCTGGCCAGCGCTTGCCTTGCCACGGCCTTTAGAAAAGGGCTCCTCTTGTTGGTGTGTTCTGCTGATCTTGGATTTGTTGTGGCTTTCTGGAACTTGCCTAGAAGGTTCTGAGGAGTCTCTAGGACCATCTTTGCATGTCTCCTTGGAAGGTTTCCTCCCCTGAAACAGAGTAAGAATGTCCAGAGCTGGAGAGATGGTTCAGTAGTTAACAGCACTTGCTGCTCTTACAGAAGACCTGGGTTTGAATCCCAGCACCCACATAACCGCTAACAACTGTAACTCCAGTTCCAGGAAATCCAATGCCCTTTTCTGGCCTCTAGGGACACTGTATGACATGGTGTGCTTACATACACACAGACATAATACTCATACACATAAAATTTAAAAAAAACAAACAAAAAGGCCAGGTGTGCTGGTACATGCCTTTAATCCCAGCACTCAGGAGGCAGATGCAGGTGGATCTCTGTAAGAGTGAGGCCAGTCTGGTATACATAGCGAGTTCCAGGCCAGCCAGGTATAGGAGACCTTGTCTTCAAAAGACCAAAAAGAAAAAAAAAAGAAAGAAAAAGAAATGTTGGTAGCTAGGCATGGTGTTATTATATATGTAAGCACAGTATTTGGGAGGTATTATATTATATATGTAAGCCCAGTATTTGGGAGGTAGAGGCAAGGGGATCAAAAGTTCAAGGCCAATCTCAACTGTATAGTGAGTCTGAGGCCAGCCTTGGCAACATAAGACTATTTCAAAAAACCAAAGGGGACAGGGAGGGAAGGAAAAGTTAATTTTGTTGGGGTTTTTTGTTCTGTTTTTTTGTCTTTCTTTTTCTTTTTTGGCAATGATAAGACAGTCTACAACTGGACAGAGCTAAGTCACTAGGTAGAGAATCTGCATGTAGGACATTCCCCGCTCAGACAATCTCAACTGGGTTTCCCATAGGGTTGTATGTAAGTACTGGCTAAAATCGGCAGACTCGCAGGTGAGCTTTAGTAGCATCATCTCACCACAGCTGTAGGGATGTAAAGTAGAAAAGGGCAAAGCTGGTCTGAACTTCAGATGTCTCATGTGCTCCATGACTTAGGTGAATATTCAACCTCTGAATCTCAGCTTCTTCAGCAATGAGAATACTGACCACACACACATGCATTCCCCCTGCCCCCTCCCCCCAAAAAAACTGAACCTACTATAGCTGTAGTTTTAATGTAGAAATTACTAACTCAATCTCCGGACTGCCAGGCTTCAGACAGTGCCACGCCCTGAAAGGCCACTGGTTCACAGAACAGTAACAGTAGCACCTTGGAGCCCAAACCTCTCTCTGGTGACTTCAGATGCACCAACACTCGTGTGTCCATCTCCTCTAACACAGGGGATGTGCAAAGCAGGCTCCAAGGAGCCCAGCCTGCATGGACACCAACTCTTAAGAATTTGACATTGTTAGGTCAGTGAGATGGACCTTAGTCGCATCTTTATAAATTCTATTGTTACAGTTTCTTCTGTTCTTTTTTTTTTTAAAAAAAAAATTTTGTTAAATTTTTGTGTCTTTCATACAGAAAATCATCTTTGGCACCTTCCCATAGCACCTCCACTTCCACTGGAGTTCATACATCTGTCATTTGTACTAAGGCCTACCATGTAAGGTTAGTGTCCCCAGATGTCCCTCAGTGCAAGTTCATCCACTCGGATCTAGTCAGCCTATCTAGAGTCCCTTCCTTTAAGAAGATCAGCTCTTCCTCATCCAGCAGTAATCAGCTGCCAATAGTTTTTTGACTAAGATTGGGGCCTGGTGTTCATTTCCACAGTTCTGCGCTGCATTTCTGTCTGCTTAAGTTTGCATGTGTCTTGTGCACGCTCACACCATTACTGGAGGTTTGTATGAGAAGGGTCCCAGGTGCCTGTAGGACTATTTCTGTATGGTCATGCACCTCCTCCCTGGCTCTTTGAATCTTTCCACCCCGTCTCCTGCAATGGTCCCTGAGCCCTGGGTGGGTGGATTTTAATATAGGAGTGTTGTTCAAGGACCTACACTCTGGAGACTCTTATTCTCTGTGTTTTGGCTGACTTTTTTAAACTTGAGATTTTTATCACTCTTCCCTGGTCAGCAAGTCCTTTTCTCTGGAAGCCCCGAGGACTTCACCTTTGTTGAAGATGACTTCAGCGGAATGGGCTGTAGGGACAACACCAGGCGGGTGAGCAGCTGCAGGGCCCGGAGAATCAAAAGAAATATCTATAATGACAACAAGAATATATTTAACTGAAGAGGGTGCTGGAGGAGTAGTCAACCCAATGTGGTCTTTGCTTACAGAGGAGCTAGGTGGAAACAACCTCCACCAGTACTCTGAGCACTATCACAAAGGAATTGTAGAGACTCACCTCACAGGAAAATGAGGTGCTTACCAATGTTAAAGGAAAAAAAAAATGTCATCACATTTTTCTAAGAAAAAATTATTTTATAAATATAATTATAGACATACAGGTATACTTGAAAAAATACCTATAATCTGGGCTACGGATGTTTACAGGGTTATTATTGTTTTTTCCCTGCTTACCTATCTTCTGATTGCACTGAGGTGGTGTATTTGTCATTAAAAGAAAATAAAACAAAATACTACTTTGGGAAGAAAACATAGAAATACAATCAGCACTGGATCACTTGTGTGTTTCCTATTTTGCACTCCCCACACTGAATTTTTCAACAGGAGGTCACAGCTTTTAAAGTTCTGCTGACATGTGAGGATGGGAGGATGAACCACCTTGAGGCAACAGTGCTAACACAGGGCAGCAAGGTCTCCCCACACAATATTCCAGAGAGAGTGCTAACACAGGGCAGCAAGGTCTCCCCACACAGTTACTACAATATTCAGTTACTACAATATTCAGTTACTACAATATTCAGTTACTACAATATTCCAGAGAGAGACTTAGAGGTGAAAAATCAAAAACAGGAAGGTAGGTTTATCTCAGAAATCAAGTGATAATGATAAACATCATTACTTTTGCTCTCCTCCTTTTGAAGTTGAAGTGTCAGCCATGTGACTGGCACATACCTCTAATCCCAACACCTGGCAGGCTAAGGTGGACAAGAGCTGGGGGAAATGGCTCAATGGGAGAACACTGCCTGCCATGCTACATCCCTGGATTCTCTCTCCAGCATCTCCCTCCAAAAGTGTGAAGATCACCAAAGACAGAGAAAGACCAAGAAACCATCACAACCTGGAGGAGGCTAAGAGAGGCAACAACTAAATGCAATGTGGCACACTGGAAACAGAAAAAGGACAATTCTGGATAAAGTAGGAAGTCTAGGTTCTATCCGTGTCCTGGCTGGCCACACTGCCCCAATGGTGACTTTTCAGCTCCTTTGAGCACAGTTCCTAGGAGCGTGGGGATAGAGGTCTAGGTGACTGAACATTCGCCACTACCCAGGAGACATCTCTAAACCCAGATTCCTTTACCTGTAACCATCCCTGCCTCAGCTTCCTGACAGGACTAAAGAGCTGATGGCATAAGATAAGGACAGAAACTGTCTGATATCTTACACTCTTCAAAACCAAATCTGCAAAGAACCAAAGATGTCAAACATTTGACTAGACATGCCAAGTCTGGTCTGTCTGCACAGACTAACAGGAATCCTCCAAGAACAGCATTGTATTTTCATCCCTATTAGTGGGCACTGCCATTAGAGAGCCACTTACATGGACCACCTCTTCATCATTCCTTGCAGAGTAAATGGCAAACCTCCTTTCCAAGGTCGTCTGCAGACTGTCCTGCTCACTGGTTGAAAGGTCCACATTGACTGTGAATGTTCCAATGAACCTGGGGGAAAAGCATGCATTCTGTACAGGGGTCAACATGAGGGGAAGTTCTAGTTTTTATAGCCAAGAAAACCAAAATCAGGACTGGATCTCAAGACTCTTCCAAGCCTGGCTAGCTAATTCCATCACTGAAGACCCAACTCAGATAGCACCTCTTTGGGCATCCTCCCCAGACCACATACCAGAGGGAAGCACCCTGGTCCCCACACTCTTCTGCCTCAGAACTCCTCACACTACCTAAACTACTTGGTGCACACTGGTCTCCTGTCAGACTAGACCCTCTTCCATGGCCACAATCACCTTGATACATCCCTCTCTTCAATGCCACACCATCACCTGTGTGTCAATTTACCACCTCAGAGGAGATCTGGCCTGAGCCAGGCTGAAAAAAACCAACCCTACACACCCGAGCTCTGCAGGAGCAGAAACGCCTTACCATTTCACCAGGTTGGAGAGGTAGCGGATGTCCCTGTCTTGAGGTGGCACTTTGGTAAAGCAAGTTGGGATGATGGAGAGGCCAATAGCCAGCAGATCTGGCTGGCTGCAGATGCTATTTCGATAGAAGCCATTTGCCAGCAGGCACAGCAGGTGAACCTGAGGACAGAAGCAGGGCGGTGGAGAGAGGGCTGAGAACTAGCAGGGATTTGCTAAGTTCAGATGGTTGTTGGACAGGAAACGTTCGTTGCTGCTTCTACACACCAGGAAGTACAAAGACTGCATTAGCTGTGTCCCAAGTCACCCCCTCTATGTACTCATTCACTAAAGTATCAGAGCTCAGAATACAAATTTTTTTTCCGAGTGCCTTTGCCTTTTACAGACACATACTGCAGGATTTCCAAATAAAAAGCCACATTATCACCTGGGCTCTGTCACAGTGAGAATGAGTGGGAGACACCAACTGTTCAGAGCTACTGAGTGCAGGCTGGGTGTGGGGCTCCTTAACTACTCTCCACCTACCTCTGTGTCTGAACCCACCCTCCTCTGCACGTACCTCACATCACTATCCTCCAACCCAACCTCATCCTACCCTTCACCAAGATACTGCAATGATTATATGGCTGTCTACCCACCCCTGCCCCTGCACAGAACTTACCCTGGCTGGTCTTCCTTCTCCCTCACTGACAGACTCTGCTAATGGATGGCACCACCCCATTCCCCTCACTTGAGCTTCCAAAAGTAGAGTCATCTTAACCCTCCCCTTTCATCTCCAGTATCCTCCAAAAGGTGGCAAGAATTCCAGTTAGCTAGCTCCTCTGACCCCCAGCCTCTGTGTACAGTACTTCATCCAGGCCTGTCACCTCTAGGCTTGCCCTTCCCGTCACTCGTCACCCTTACTTTGTGCATGTTCTCGTGCACTTCTTTATTGAAACGTTTCATCATCCTCCGCAGATACGTCTCAAACTCCATCTTTATCTTCTCACTGCAACAGAGAGAAATCTGGGAATGTAGCAAGAAACTCCACAAGGTTGCTATTAGGAAAATCTGCAAGCAACCACTGTCTGCTCCCTCCCATCCACAAACCTGCTCTCTCAGACACTGTGCGTCCCATCCACTGTCGACACTGTCCTCTGACAGCACGTCAGGTCTCACCCAGGACTTGAGCTCCTATCCTCCAGAATCCTGACTACTGATTTCCTCCTTAAACCACCACACTGATGCTAAATTAATGCAGTCATTTACATGACTGTTCTGCAAAATCTGTATCCCATCAATCTCTAGGAAAACTTGTCATTTCCTGAACAACAAGCCGTCTCCCTGTCTAACAACATGTCTATCAGAGTGGACCTCATTAGCCAGTTTTTATGCTCCATTATCCTAAGCCATCAGAGGCTAGAGAGGAGCTGGGCATCCTGGGTAGCACGATGCTCCTTACCACAGTGGGCACTATCTCATACAGCATATGGTGGGAAAGCATGAGTGGCAAGTCAGCTGATGGGATTCAGGTCTTGGATCCTCTACTCACAGACTGGGGGGGCTCCCAGGCCATTACTTAAGCTCTCAGAGCCTCTGGCTCCTCATTTACCGCTCTGAGGAGTGGGTAAACTAAGGGATGGCCAAAATGCTCAGTCCTAGGCATGCAGAAGGTCCCTGTCTCCATCTCCCATCTGGACAGGATACCAAGATTTCTTGTCCCAGTCCTAAAGGCAAACACAGGACTCTCACCTTCAGATCCTAGCCACTCAAGACACTCTGCCCAGCATACTTATTTATTTCTCAAAGATTCTTGTTAGTGTATCTGCTGCCCATTACACAGGACAGGAACCAAGAAGCAAGAGCCTGGCCTTACCGTCTTTTTCTTGTCTTTGCCTGCTCTGGTGTTTCAATTTCTATCTCCACTGGCTTCACAGGCAGAACAGACTGAGAAGAGGTAGAATTTTCTCCCATGTCCAGCACAGGGTCAGTTAGTTCTATCAACAGTAAGTTTTTTAAGTCACTATTAATAACAGGTAATGTACTGAACAAAATCAGGGTTCTGCTGGGAAGAATGAAGTCAGGAATTGTTGGGAGACCCTGCTGCTAAGGTTGCAGTCCACCATGTCCGGATAGCTCTAAGGAACTCGGCACTATATGGAAGGACTCCCTTTCTCAGCAGGGGCCTCCTGCTCTCTGCCTGACTTATCTGGAAAGTGCCTCCAAGCATGGATGCTTGACCTTATTCGGAACATGACCTTGGGCATAGTGACCTGCAAAAAAACTACCCCCAGGTTTTTTCTATATGATAACTAAGCATTGCACTATAGCCAGATGATAGGCTCCCCCTACCACATGTAAATAAAGCATACTATGAGCACCTATCAGCTGAAGCTTCGGCTGCTGCCTCCACACTATATTTTCCCTGACCCCACTGAATAAACAGAGCTGTATCACTGAATATGACTCCCTGGAAGGTTTTTTTCTGTCCATGCTCACTGGCTGTCCTGACCCCATTTGTCAATTCCGCTCCCTTTGTTCTTATGGATCGGTGGCCAATGGCCCACGAGGGGAGGAGAGACCCACAAGGAATGCATACAGAGGTCTCTTGCCTCCTATGCTTTAGGCTCCTGCAACACACTGGCTATTGTGCCAGGTTACTTACAATTTTGTCTCATTTAACCCACAGGACAATCCAGGGATAGAATCTTCAGATGAAAAAAACTAAAGCATCGGCAGCTGAAGGGCACTGAGTTTGCTCCATTGGGCCTAACTGTGAAGATACTGGGAGCCTAGAAGCCCTGGCCTGTTGGCAGTGAGCCCACCTGCGACAGGTCTTCACACTAGTCTCTAAGAAAACAGGGCTCCTTGAAAAAGAAGGTTGGCTTCAGGTCTAGAGCAAGGACAACATAAGGTGAGCATGGAGCATCTCGTGCTGGAATACAGGAGGCCAGGGAGGGGAGCCTCACTCAACCTGAACACTAGTACAGGCACACCTGGCAAAAGGCCCCTCTCAGTGGGTGCAGCATGAGGTGGCATTACCTGTGAAGCACTCTTGCCCAAAAAGACTTAATCATTTTAAATTTAATCAAATTGTGGAACTTAACTTACATTTATAAGAAATACACACAGTAAATACCATCATGAGATGCCTCATCATTTTGCTAAAAAACAAGAGACTGGGACTTTTCAAAGCAGGCACTACTCTACAAAGCCACCCCCCCCCCCGAAGAAAGTGCCAGGTGTGGTGGCACACATCTGTATGAGTGGAAGGTCCATAGTTCTAGGTCAGTCTGGGCTATATAGCAATTTCAACAGTGGAGACTCTATCTCAAAAACTCAATAAGGGCTGCCCAGGTATGGTGGCAAACATCTTTAATCCCAGCACTCAAGAAGCAGAGGCAGGTCAATCTCTGTGAGATCAAGCCCAGCCTGGTCTACACAGCAAGTTCCAGGCCAGCTGGGAGCTTGGAAGACTCTGTCTCAATACAGACCGGGGGTGGGGGTGGGGGTGCTACACAGGCCTGATGACTAGCGTTCAATCTCTAGAATCCACAAAGTGGCAGAAAAGAGCCAACTCTTGTCCTCTGATCTACACACGTGCGTACACACACACACACACACACAAAACAGAAAGGAGCTGGAGGTGGTGCTTACTGGTACTCATAAGGCCATGGGTTCAATCCCCAGCACCACAAATAAATTCATTAAAGGTGGTACACTGGGGGAGGGGCTTTACATTTCTAGATGAAAAGAAATTTACAGACATACCAACCAACTACAAGGCTTAAACTCACTGGATCTTGATTTAAAAAAGATACAGCTGCAAAGACATTTTTAAAACAACTAGGGGGTTAGTTTTCATCTTCTTAGGTTTGATAAGTCACGTAAGAGAATGCTGTCTTCCTAGGAAATGCATACTAAGGTACTTAGAAGCCAAGCGTCAGGATGTCTGAGACTTATGTGCAAAAAGTCCCACAATGAATACTTACAGAGAGAACACGTTCAATATTAAGGAAGCCAGGTAAAGAGTACATATACTGCTCCCATTTTTTTGTAGATTTGAACTTTGTCAAAATAAAATGCCAGGGGAGCATGCTGGACAGAAGGAGTCAGGGCACTAACATCAGCTACCACCCACTCTCCACTCTACACATGATGCACCAGGTCTAGGGTACCTGCAGACTTCCTTCCCTGAGTCTTAGAACCTGGACTGGGCACAGTTCACAGTAGCATCCAGTTTTTACAGCATGTGGCCAGTGAAGAAACACTTCAAAGAAGCAAAATATTTGCTTACAGTTATGCAGGGGCAGTGCTGAGCTTTGAACTCAGGACTAACTGCCTCAAAAAACCTGCTGTCAACTTCACTCTTTCTATGCACAGTGCCTCTCTGCTTACACCTTCTCCACTGAAACTCACCAGAGGAAGAAAGAGAACATTCAACCTTCTTTGGTGACCCATGGATTTTTCCTTTTTTTTTTTTTTTTTTTTTGCCCTTAAAGAAAGCTCCTACTTCAGGGGACTTTGGTCTTTGTTTCAAAAACAACAGAATTGCAACATGTGATCTGGTTCCAGATAGCAAACAGAATCTAACAGTTATGAAAACAAGACATTTGCTTCACCTTCCACCTCCTCCCAGTCACCGTCACTTTCTTCCTCGTCTTCATCACTGTCTTTGTCCATCACCTCTCTCTCTGGATGCTTCACTTTCTTGATGTGACCTGCAAAGTCCCTGTGTAAGAATCAAAGATGCAGAAGGCTCAGACATCCCAGTGTCATACTCAGGCTAATCAGAACAAAAGACTCTGGGTGACCAAGAATCTGCTGTGATTAGGTTTGCAAAGATGATGAGTGAGCACTGAGCCTTGTTTCCTGCCTCAGGCCAGGTCAGAAAGTCCCAAAGATGTGCTCGGAATATAGATCTAATACTAGATTTGCTGCAAAGGCATAGAGAAGCAGGGCAAGGTGGTACACACCTGTGATCCCAGCACTTGGGAGGCTGAGGCAGGAAGATTTTGAGTTTGAGGCCACCCTCGGCTTCAGACTTGTCTTAAAAATAAAACACAGAAAGAACTTACAATCTGTACAAAGAAGAACACTATGCCTCAAAATGGCGAGGGGAAAGCTAAGAAAAGCCCTGATGACTCCTGGAGTCCCAGAAAGCTGTGGCAAGCTGTGCACATACTCATACAGCTGGAGGCCAGAAAGAAGAGCAGGGATTCACACTGCATTCTTCCATGAACCAAGTCAAACAATGATTTTTCCAACTGTTAGGAAATTTGGCTTAAGGACACTGGAACTGGTACAACCCTAACTTCAAGACAAGTGAGGGGTGATCATGTATCAGACGTCAAAAACAACACAAACAGGGTAGCTACTAGCTAAGCCAAAAACTACACAGACAAGCAGGGAAGAGTGACTTAAATGGCCACTAGCATATTGACATATTCCTGCAAATTCATATATAAACCGTGTCTACAGAACTGAGTTACTTTCAGCTTGTATAAACATTGATATTTGGCATCAAGAGAAAAATAACCAAGATTTTAGCATAGACATTTAAAACAGTCTCAGTCTTGAGCTACAATAACACTCTCTCTTTTTAGCCTACCGCTTTCTCTCGAGGTCATGACAACACAAATTTCCATGACAAATGGCAGAAATGCTCATGAACCAGGGGTTTGGACCAGTCAACTCTCAGGTTAGAGGAAAGGGGGATCCAGAACTTTCCTTGGCAGTCTCCTGGCCTGTATTTGTGTAGATCTCCCTGGAGATAGAATTCAGCAATTGAGGGGCAACCAGAAGGCTGAAGTGCATTCTTCCTCACTAAGGACAGAAGAGACGAACCACGGTGGAAAAATCTACATGCTTCCCAGGCCCTTTCCACAGCTGCCCTCTGCTGGATGGCTCTCCCACACCAAGAAAGGCCAAAAATGCAGACTGGATTGTTTTGAAGCAAAAGAACTCCTACCCATTTTCCTCTACTCATCTACACCCCCCAACTTTCTTAGGCAGCAGATAATCAACTAGTCTCATGTCCCCTACATCTCAGTGAGAATGTTCATCTACTGCAGAGACACAGCATCTTGCCAACTAAAGCCCAGTCCTAGATGCTGCAGAACCTGAGGACATGAATCAGTCCTAGCTCTGCTCTGAGACCTGAGAGGCAGCAAACCTCCATATGTGGCATAAATAACCATCATTCCAGAAGACAGGTTACACACTTCAGAAATTGCAGGAAATGAGAGCAGAACAGCAGGAGAATCAGTGAAAACTAGAGCCGATGACTTCAGACAGGAAGAAAGCATTCCAGGTGGAAGGGGAACTGTGAGCACAACTTAGGGGTGAGAGGGGCTGGGGTAGCTCTGCAGTAGAACACCTGCCTACTGTGTGCAAGGCTTTGATCTCCAGCACTGCAAGCAAACAAAACCGAAATGCCAGGAAGTGCAGCAAGGGACAAGAGCGCCCACTGAATGCTCAAAGTCCAACCAGGCAGCAGTTGCATACACTCGAGGAGAGCAGTGTAAAACAACACCGGGGTGGCGGAGCAGCTTCTGTCTCTGTAGGGTATCTGGGTAGTTGCAAGAGCACTAGACCAAAATGACTGTGTGTAGGCTGCCGCTGTACTCATCTGAAAACTCTCAAGTCTCCAGCTCCCCTCTCTAGAAGTGCTCAGATCCTCCTTCCCTCCAGGTCCCTTGATGAAAGCAGAGTTCTATCACCCACACTTCTCTGATAGGATCAATTGCCACTGACTTCCAAGCTTTGCCATCTCACCTGACATCTTCGCCGTCACTGAGGGTCTCAGCCTTAACAGTTGCCTTGGCCACTTTCTTTTTCACTGGCCCATCTGCGGGGGCCCCTGGATCACTGCAGCCTCTCTTCCTCTTTGCTTTGGAAACTTTTGAGAGAAAGCACTTCTTTGGGGATTTTGGTTTCTCATCTTCAAAGTCATCTAAGTGACGACATGGAAAGAGAGGTAAAGATGTCAGAGAAGGTGCAGTGCAACTTATGTACAGGGTCACGAAACCACATCTCCATCACCATTTACCATCTGTGTTTGGCAGCAGCCAGCCCTCAGCTTTTCTCCACTTGCAGCCTAGTCTGTGGCCACAGTAAAAAAACCACCGTGGTTCAGTGCTGGAGAGCAAATGCAGAGCCCTCCACAAGGGAGGGAAGCATGACCACCAAGCTTCACCCCAAACCACTCTCCTTCACCAGCATCCAGCATCTTGTTCTAGTCCTCCTAAAACAGAAACCACCATGACTCAAGCTCTAACTTCTAAACCTTAAGTTGCAGCCAAGCTCCAGCAAGGAAAAACTTTGATTAACACCTTGGATAACGTCTACCTGCCAAGACCTATTTGAGAGACAACCCACTCTTCTTACATGAAATGTTTTAAGTTCGTGCACCTCATCCTGTTCCTGCCATGTAGGTAGGTCAAAGCACACACTGCTACAGAACCTCTTCAATCCGACTAAAGGGTGCTTGTACACCAGTCACCTGGGCAAACTCAGGGTTGGAAGAGGACCACCAACTGTTCCTTCATCTAAACTACTTAGTACCACCACTGTTCAGATATCAAGAACTTTTCAGGTTTTTACATATCTACATCAACTTTAGAAGTTAAAAGGTGCTAGGCATGGTGGTTCACACCTTTAATCCCAGCACCTGGGAAGGAGAAACAGGCGGATCTCTTGTGAATTCAAAGCCAGTCTCATCTACAAAGCGAGTTCCAGGCCAGCTGGGGCTACAGGAAGACTCTGTCTCAAAAAAAAAAAACAAAAAAAAACAAAAAGAAGTTAAAGGTTCAAAATGTGGGGCTGGAGAGATGGCTCAGTGGTTAAGAGCACTGGCTGCTCTTGTAGAGCACCCAAGTTTGATTCCTAGGACCCATATGGTGGGTATCGACTGTCCCTAATTCCAGTTCCAGTTCCAACATCCTATTCTGACCCCTACAGGCACTGCACAACACAGGTGCACTTATATACATGCAAGCAATATACTCACACACATAAAATAAAAATAATAAATTTTTTTAAGTTGAAAATGCAAAATTCATAACTTCTTATCAAGTCTCAGATTTCAGAGCATCTCAGATCTCAGATTTTAGGATTAGAGATGCACAACCTGTAGCAACTAAAAAGCACCTGATGTTCTTAAAATAACTGCTTTCTGTAAAAGGGAAAATTGAGAGTTTATAAACTATAGACTTTAAACTGTTTATCTAAACATAGTCTGTGTATAATTATCAATTTAAATAACATAAATATAGCAGAAAGGATACTTTCTTGTTTTTCAAATATAATATAATCATACAAATGAGGGACTGGAGATATGGCTGCGTGGTTAAGAGCACTAGCTGCTCTTGCAGAGGACCTGGATTCCATTCCCAGCATCCACATGGAGGTTAACAATATCCAGAACTCTAGACATCCTCTTCTGGCCTCCACCAGCACTGCATACACATGGCGCAAGTACATACATGCAGGCAAAACACTCATACCCAGAGGATAAAAATAAATTTTAAAATAAAATAAAAATAAATCCAAATGATAAAGTCTGTCCAAGACTCTGCTTCAACTGACTTTGGGAAATAAGACACACTAGCTTTTATTAAGGCTCCAAAACAGAATGCATAATTAGCTTGAATTATCAAATTAATTCATGCCATTCATTCATGGCTTGCCTGCTGACTCTGTAGGCAGGCATTTATATTCCCTGAAAATTTATTTTTGCATGTGATGGGAGGTGAAAACTCTTCTTTTGTTCTAAATGAATTGTAATTTCATTCAACTAAAATTCATATTACAAGGACATTTGGTGTAATGCTAGATAAATCACTAATTCTTTTATTTTTAAAAAAGGTTTTAAAGAAAAGGCCTCAAACTTTTGGCGATCCCCTTGCCTCAGTCTCCCAAGAGCTGGAATTACAGGTGTATAGCACCAGGCTCGGCAATTTCCACGTTTCAAACACTGTGATACAAATAAAACATTGAAAAGGTGACTCAGAGGCAGGACCAAACTTACAGGCTGTTTAAAAGGCACAGCTATCAAGGCCAGCCTGATCTACATAGCAAGTTCCACATCAACTGGGGCTTCAAGGAGACGGTGTCTTAAAAATATGGTGGTTTGAATAAGTGTCCCCCATAAGCTCCAAGTATTTGAACACTGTCCCCAGTTGGTGGCACTGTTTTGGCAGGTTTTAGGAGGTGCAGCCTTGCTGGAGGAAGAGAGGTACTGGGGACAGGCTTTAGGAGTTCTTACTGCATTTCATGTCTCTCTCTCCTCTCTCCTCTCTCTCTCTCTCTCTCTCTCTCTCTCTCTCTCTCTCTCCTCTCGCCCCCCCCTTCCTGTGCCTGCTTGAAGATGTGATTAATCACTCAGCTCTACTCCGGCTACGGCCATGCCTCCCCTGCCATTATGGACTCTCCCCTGAAAGAGCAGGTCAAATAAACTCTTCCTTCTATAAGGTGCCTTGGTCATGGTGTCTTATAATAACAGAAAAGTCATACAAAGGCCAAAAACAAAAAATAAAAAAATTGCCGCTGTGGCTTGCTCAGCCAGCTATGGAGACTTGTTAAGAATATCTGCATTGGGGCTAAAGAGACGGCTCAGCAGTTAAGAACACTGATCGTTCTTGCAGAAGACCCAGGTTCGAATCCCAGCACCCACATGAGAGCTAATAACTGTCTGTAACTCCAGTTCCAGGGGATCCAACAGCCTCTCTGTCTTCCTTGGGTATTGCACGACACGGGTGCACTTACCTACATGCAGGCAATACACACATACACATAAAATAAAAAAATTAAAATATTTTAAGGAATATGTGCATACACCTTCAAATAACCTCCCACAGCACTTAGAATAAACTCAAATTCCTCAGCTTGATCTCCATGCTGAAGTCCCTGCCCTTCTGGCACCTCAATTCGTCCCACTGGCCTGTTCAATACTGTCTCCAGCCAACAGTCTTTTTTTTTTTTTTTTAATGTATATGAGTGTATTGCCTGCATGTTATATAAGTGCACCCACGTCATGCAAAGCCTGAGAAGGTCAAAAGATGGCATTGGACTCTCTGGAACTGGAATTACAGATGGTTGTTAGCCACCATGTGAGTGCTGGGGATCAAACCCCAGTCCTCTGTAAGAGCAACCAGTGCTCTTAACCACTGAGCCATCTCTCCAGCCCCCCCCTTGTATTTTTTAAATAGTTGGAGAAATTAATGAATTTCACCGATGAAGGTATTAACACAGAAAAGAAACATGAAGAAAAGAGGTACCTTCTCAATAAGATGAGGATGACCACGCTCTTAGCATCCAAGCATCACCTTCATTTGCATACACAGGGTGTTCTTTAAATCTTCTGTATGGACACTACACAGAACCATCCCCAAATTATTGTCCTGCAATCTAAATTACAACTGCTAAGTTTGAGTTCTTCCTCTTACACACCAGAGATTTCCACACTTCAGATCCTACAAGCTGCCTGGAAACATACTGCTAGCTAGCTCCTCTAGTTGGCAGTTTGGACAGAACTTGGGTGTAGCCTTCCCTACCTGTAGGCGATGAGATTCAAGCTAGTCAAGCTGATTATTTAAGATGGGACCATGCCAAAAGCTTTATACGCTATCTTCCTGAAAATTCACAATCATCCTGTTACAGGAAGCTGGTGCCCAGGTGAAGTACTGACCTTGGAGAAATGTTCTTCAAGCAGAAAGCACCTCCATCTGATTGAACCTTTAATGTTTGAATTGCCACACAGCCAAAATATAATCTGGATATAACGCCAACCCCCTCTCACATCTCTTACTGAAACAGTGCCCATCCTTTAATATGTGACTTTAGTTACATATTAAACAATGCTTCAGAGAGCATGTCCCAGTCTCTCCCATCAAACCTGATTTTTCCTCTGGAAACTACAAAGGCTCACTTCCATGATATTTAACATGCACCACCTTGGATATTTTATATGCAAGTATCTGTCAACACTAATTCTGCAAATTCCTTGAAGATCTGTCTCTAGTGTCACCTAACCGGTAAACAGCACATAGTCAATACTGGAAAAATGTCTTGAATGAGTAAAGTAATAAATAAAATGATGCTCATTACATTTAAGTGTGGAGTAAGCCAACTCCTAGATTCAGGAATTATTAGTCCTAGCGGACAACGAATTTACAATCTGTACACAGTGGCAGAATCTAGCCCTTGAAGATCTGTCTCTAGTGTCACCTAACCGGTAAACAGCACATAGTCAATACTGGAAAAATGTCTTGAATGAGTAAAGTAATAAATAAAATGATGCTCATTACATTTAAGTGTGGAGTAAGCAAACTCCTAGATTCAGGAATTATTAGTCCTAGTGGACAACGAATTTACAATCTGTACACAGTGGCAGAATCTAGTGGAGCAGGAGCACTGGGGATGTTAAAGGAACCTAGTTTTCTATCAACTACTTTAGATCTAGATATCCCTTCTCCAGCATCATGCATTTGCATGTTTAAAATGCTTTTTAGGGCATGCAAGGATGCAAACGGGGGGAAGATCAAGACCGGACACCGGACAATAGACACATTTTTATGCAGCTTACATTGTGTATAGGCAACCACAATTTAAGACCATTACACACAAGAATGAGGCTGGGAAATCAGTAACTGTGGTTCTGTGGTAGAGGGTACCTGCAAATGACTACAAAAGATCATGGCGAGTCTTCGACCTAAAGTAGAAAACCAGTGAGAGCCACAAAGAACATTCTAGCAATAGGGAACATCGTAGGCAAAGGCTCCGGTAAGAAACTTGGCATACTTGAAGAACAAAAAGACGGCCAATAAGAGTCTGACATGCATCTATAATCTCAGTACTGAGGGGGATGAGACAGGAGGATCTAGGCCAGCCTGGGTTTAAAACAAGAAAAGTCAAAATGAGGATATCTGGAAAGGAGGCAACAGGTGAACACTAAAACCGCATGCAAATAATGTGGGGGAGTGTAGAGAATGCTAAATGAGGGGAAGCCCCAAGGTCTGAAGTAGATGAGCATGTGTTTTCTGTTGTTTAGCAGGTGGAAATCTGCTGCACACGGGTGGGGAGAAGCCAGAGAAGAGTTTCACTCATCCAACTGAAAGATGATTTGGACAGGATCTGTAGCTATAAAAATAAAAAGAATGAGGACAGATTTGAGTAGTTCCAAGGTTAAACTGGACTTGCTGATGAACTGGAAGAAAAGGCGGAGGGTGTTTTAACAGGTGGGTGAGGGAATTGTTTACTGAGATGGGAAAACTGCAGAAAGGCTGTTTAAGGGGTCTACAGAGTTCTGCTTCGCTCGGGACCAAGTTAGGAGGCGTATCCCATATCCGGAGCGTGGAGTTACACCGGATAAGAATCCGGAACTCTGGAGTGAGATTTGGCACACTACATCACTACATCACTTTGCCCCGCTTCTTCCGTTTCCCCAGGATACAAGGTAACTGAAGCCTTTCCCCACTCCGCCCTCCACACCTGCCAGGAGTCGGGGTGGATCCACTCAGCCGCTCGGGGCACCGAGCATCCGGGCGAGGAGAAAACGGCCCGGGACGCGCAGAGGATGCCTGCTGCAGACGCCGCTCCGCCCCGCCGCCCGCCGCCCGCCCACGCCACCGGCCGCATCGCCGGCACACACACTCGGCCGGGTTCTCACCCGCCTCGCTCTCCGCAGGCCGGGCCGCGCTCTGGTCCTCAGCGTCCTGACCCTTCGGCTTCCGTCCCCGCCGCCTCCTGCCCGCGGCGCGCTTCCGAACCATGCCGCCCAGCTGTCCTCCAGCTTCTCACGCCAGGTCGCAGAAAGCCGCGGTCCTCGGGTCCGCCCTGAGGCGGGCCAAGTCTTGGCCACGCCCCGCTTGTGTGTAGAGCCACGCCCCCAGAGAAGCTCCGCCCCCATGTACGCTACAGGAGATATGCAGGGACAAAATTAATTTAGGGCTACTTCCGGTGTGTCACAGCCTCACGTTTCCGGGTGCGAAAGCGGTCTCCTATTCTCGCGATAGGTGGGAAAGGGCGCAGGGTTTGAAACATGGCGGACGACGTGGATCAGGTAAGCGTTTTGAGGCACTCATTGAGGAAGCGCTTCCACTCTTCCGCCGGGCTGGTGCTCTCCACGCCCCCGGAGAAGCGGCCTGCCTCTTCTTTCTGGGTCACCACGGCCTTCCGTAGCCGTGCCGGCCCGGATGGTCCTCCAGTCCCAGAGAGGTCCTTCGGGAGCCCGTCTTACACTTTATCACGCTCATCATCTCCCTTTATCTGTAGAATGAAAACTGTTGTACCTACCCGCCTCTCGGAGCTAGCTGTCAGAATCCCTCCAGAAAACCTGATATAGTAGTGGACAACAGCTTACTGTGCGCCTAAGCACCAGGTACATCTGCAGTGACTCACTTGGAGTGCACCGTACGGGAGATCAGATAAAAAGGGTAATTTATGTGAGAGAAACTGCGGCGCGTATGAAGAAAGCAAGCAAAAACCTGGTATCAGGACAACAGAAGGACCTACAGGCGCCCTCTTCCCACTTTCTTAGATAATAGCTCGATTTCCCTGGCCACCTACGTGAACGGCTTGCACTCACCACACAGACACACACACACACACACACACACGACTACCGCTATGTTTCTCTTCATAGCATATTATTTTAAATATGTGCTGCTTTTTTAATATGTATCTCTCACAACTAGTGCGGGGACTTGGGTGTTACAATCGGGTGCTTGATTGTCTTCTTAACAAGAGCCTGTCGGACTTCCGTGGGAGGAGAAAGGCACCAACTGAAGTCAGGGGGGGTTGTTTCCTGCCATCTGGCCTCTTAAATCAATGCAGCCTGCAATCTTCAGTCACCTTCCACTGGCTTCAAGTATTCACTGAAGGAGTTCTTAGTGAATGCTCTTGTCAGCTCTTGATGGCTGGAACCATCCCTTCCTTGTGGGTAACCAGAAGTCATACCCTGACCTCTGAAACCTGCTTCCAACAGTTCTTGAATAGTAATAATGACTTAAATCATCCTTAAATCTTGAAGCAAATAAGAGATTGTATTAAAAATAAGAGTAAGAGCTAGATGCGGGGCTGAGATAGCTCAGCAGGTAAACCGTGCTTACAGTGCAAGCCTGACAACCTGAATTCAATACTGGTATCCCACGGAGGAAGGAAAGAACTGACTCCCTTTTGAAAACTGTCCTCTGGGCAGGATGTGATGGGCACACCTTTAATCACAGCACTGGGGAGACAGAGGCATGTGGATCTCTGTAAGTTCAAGGCCAGCCTTGTCTACACAGTGAAATCCAGACCAGCTGGAGCTACAGGGAGACTAAAAAAAAAAAAAAAAAAAAAAAAAAAAAAAAAAAGAAAATTATCCCCTGACCTCCATGTGCTCACCATAGGACATACATATACATATGTGCACAGACACAATATTAAATAAAATTTAAGTTTTTTAAAAAAAATATGGATGTGGTTCACACCTATAATCCCAACATTTAGCTGGATGAGACAGGAGGATTGCTGCTAGTTTAAGGCTAGCCTGGACAAAGTATCTTTTAAAGATAATGATGAGAACCATGTATAAATATTTCCTGTTCACTAGAAATAGATCACTTAGTCATCACAACAACTGAGGGAAGGGCATAGTTTCCCCAGTGTACAAATGAGGAATCTGAAACAAGAGGTACATGAATTTAGCCCAGTTGAGAAGAGCCAGGTCAGAGCCTGGAGTTGAGCCCCGGCTGCCTAACGCCAGGTCAGTGTTATTAACCCCTGTATACTGCCTGCTAGACCAGTTAGCACCCTATACTCAGTCTGCCCTGTGCTGGCTTCAAAGTCTTCCCTTAAATCTTAACTGCTGCTTATTTTATGTGGTAGGTATTCATAAGTGTTTTTTAAATGATGTTAAAGATAAAGCTAAGTTCCCTAAGTTACTCCCTGAAATTGGGTGTAACACTTTGGATTTTGAGGAAGCAAAGTACAGTCATGGTTACTTTGCTATTTAATTCCTTCTTACATAAATATGTCTTGGCCCACATTTATATAGCAGGATTACATGGGCAGCATTGTTCTAAACCTTCATGTGTGTTATTTAAGCCTGATGACAATATTAGGTAGACACTGTTGCTTTCTGCATTTGACCAATTAGAGAGGTTAAGTAGCTTGTCCTTGGTTTTACTACATAGCACAGTGATTCAAACAGGGTGCTCTGGGATTCCTTCCTAAGCCTACTTCTTTTATCAGCAACAGACTACCAATACAGTAGAGGAGCCCCTGGATCTCATCAGGCTCAGCCTGGATGAGCGAATTTATGTGAAGATGAGAAACGACCGAGAGCTTCGAGGCAGATTACATGTAAGTTTGTTAAATGACCTTGAAATAGATGTACCCCTACCATCCTTACCACCTTTGAAATTTAAAAGCTGCAATGTAGACTATTTTGAGTTATGGACAAGAGTTAGAAAGTCACTTGAATGAGCCAAATACAGCTGTCCTTTAGTGATGTTTTTAATATTTTTCCCTTAACAGTAATGTTATTATAGAACATTTTTGTTTTCCCTTCTGCATATTTATAAATAAACTTATTTATCCTTTGTATTTGTTTCAGACAGGGTTTTGCCATGTAGCTCAGGCTGGCTTCAAACTCAAGCTCTCCTAACTCTACCTCCTTAGAGCTGGGACTATAGACATGTACCACCATGCCTGGCCCTGTTCTTCATTCTTAAAGGTTATTTGGCAGGGGAGCTAGTTGTTATTCTTTATTTATTGACATGTAAATGCATGTTTTGTTATGAAGAAATAAAACAGCAGACTAGAGATACAGTTCACTGGTAGAGTGCTGTCTTAACATGAGGCAAGGCTCAGGGTTTAACGCCTAGCACTACTAAAATGTTAAACAGCAAAAAAATACATAAAATTAAAAGGTAAAGCCCATGTTCTTTATTGATCACTGTTCAAAGTTGAGAAGAGGCTGGTCCCCTACTTGTGCTTCTGCCTCAGTCTCCCAAGTAGCTGGGATTATAGGCATATACACCACCCTGGCTTACTACTTTGATTATCTTTTAAAGCTAAACTGATGAAAAAATAGCTAACATTTACTGAGTATTGGTTACATGCTGGGTGCTATTCTTCTGAGTGTTCAAATATGATGTTTTGTTAAATCTTTGTACAACCCTGTGAGTGTAGCTGCAACTAATTATCCCCTCCTTGCAGTTGAGGAACCTCAGGCTTAGAAACACCGTTCTGTGTAGAGGTGACAGAGCCAGTACGGGGAACTAGGCAGTCCCACTCTGACCTGTCTCAGGAACTGTGATTGTTCCTGCCATGAAACCTGAAGATAAAGAACCCTGAGTCAGGAAGGCAATAAGGACCGAGGGAGACTGTAGTCATGATCTACAGTCAGCCTTGAGGGAAGAGGAACTTTGGGAAATAGCAATGTCATCTTTGAGTAGAAAGCTGGAATGGAGCTTCATTATATGGATCTGTGGTACATGGAAGGACACCCCATGCCAGACCTGTCACCTTAACGTGGAGGCTTCCTCAGTTCTTGCTTCTGCACTAAGCGATCCAGCTTTCTATTTGTTTTCTGCTCACCAGCTGAACATTTGCTTATTTGTGTAGCTGCTGAGCAATTCCCCACATGGCAATTTTTCATCTTGATATGAGCGGACGAACCATTTAGCACTTTGTTAGAAGTATGTGTAAGTGGGTTCTGAACAGGCCCCAGGGACTTTGCCTTTTAGTAAAATTAATGAACTTTGGAGATCACACAATGAACTTTGGAGATCACACAATGCTGTGGTTGTAATCCTTCCTAACTGAGTCCTCAGGTGACAAAACACATTATAAGTTCTGGGAGCTGATAAATGGGCAAAGTAGAAGCTGAGGAGATGGCTCAGTAAGTAAAGTGCTTGCCCTACAAGTGTGAGGACCAGAGTTCAGATCCCCAGAACCCATGTAATGCCAAGTAGGTATGGTGGCTCACCCGTAACCCCAGCCTCAGGAGGCAAAGTCAGCAAGCTGGCTAGCTAGACAAAGAAGAAAGCTCTGGGCTCAAGTGAGAGACCATGCCTCAATATGTAAGGTGGAGAGCAAGTGAGGAAGACACCTGATGTCAACCTCTAACCTCTGCATACACGCAGACACACATATGTACACACCACATACACATACACATGCCAGAAAAAGTGGGCCAGGGATTCACTTCTATGAGGTCAAATGGCAGTCCTTGTTTGAGAACTACAGTCCATTCTCTCAGCAGACAACAGGATGTTACGCAACCTACTGTCCCTTTGTCATCATGCCATTACAGTTGGAATTCAAGTCCAAGTGAAGAGTTTGCTGTTTCTCATAATAAAATGTTATGAATGACAAAGCTGCCTTGGGTAACAAGTAGAATGGATACTTTTTAAGTAACAGGTTATTTTGAGCACATTCACTTTTGGTCTTAAACAATATTTTGCTTTTATTATTATTATTTTAATATTATTTTTATTTTATATGTATGAGTGTTATGCCTGCATGTAGGTAAGTACACCCGGGTCATGCAGTGCCCGTGGAGGAAGAGGCTGTTGGATCCCCTGGAACTGGAGTTATGGACAGTTGTTAGTTGCCATGTGGGTGCTGGGATTCGAACCCAGGTCTTCTGCAAGAACAGCCAGTGTTCTTAACTGCTGAGCCATCTCTCCAGCCCCAACAATGTTAATGCTTTTATCAAGTCAGTTCGGTTGTCTTTGTTGCTGGGAGTGACCTGTGGAAGCATGATAGACTAGCATAGCAGGATTATTTTTTATTTGCGTGTAGAAGTTTGTATATAAGTATTGAATGTGTTACTTACAGTCAATCCATTTGCATATTTTAAGTCCTGTTCATGGTTTCTCAAATCTCATCCTCTCACTTCAGGCTTATGACCAGCATTTAAATATGATCCTGGGAGATGTAGAAGAAACTGTGACTACGATTGAGATCGATGAAGAAACATATGAAGAGATATACAAAGTGAGTCATAAAGTTCTGTCCATCACTCTGAAAATGTCAGTTATCCACATACAACAGCTTAACATGTATTGTGGAAAACCTGTCATGTTTTGGCACCTACTATAGGCTTTATTGATAGAGTGTAGCAGTCAAACAGGGTTTTGGGGTCACACATAACCTGTTTCCAGTGTTCACTTGGTTACTTCCTATCTGGACTCCTCTGGACAAGAAGGGCTGAGTCAGGAGGATTGCACATTGGAGGCCAGTGCAGGCTATATACTGAGCTCCACACCAGCCTGGGCTAAAAAGCAAGACCCTGCCTCAAAGACAAAAAGAGAATCTTTGACTCTGTTACACCATAGTGATTGAAAAATATAGACTTAATTTTCAGGGCTACCTAAGTTCTAATCTTGATTCCTTGTTTTACCTGATAATGGAGCCAAGTTAGCTAACCTGCCTGAAACTCAGATTTTTTTCTCTGTACTGATGGGCTCTAAGAACCTGCTTCATGTGCTTGCTATGCAGGATTCATTGGAAGGTTACATAAAAAGCCTAATGAATGTTCACAGGTTAGTCTCTGTCCTGCCCTCCCCGTCTCTCTTGACTCTGCTCTGTGAGCATTTGGCTTTTTTTTTTTTTTCCTCCCTCCTTTGGTGGATAAAAAGAGGTGTTTTGTGGACTTTTTAACATTTCTCAGGGTTTTCAACATGAAAGCAATTATAATGTTCCAATTTTAAAGTGTGTTTTAGTTTCTTGCATTTTAGCATCTCTGAAATCTGGTTGCTTCTTAGAGCTGAGATAAGAAAAACTAGTGTCAATTTAATTGGCAGCATTTTCCCTTTTTAGTTCAAAGATCACAAATGGTATCTTAAATGGGGTGAAATGTGGAATATTACAATTGTACCTTTCACTTTTTTCATGTGGCATTAATATAGGAGCTTCAGACTTCAGGGCCTGGGATGGGGCTTAGTAGTGGAATGTTTGCCTAGTGTGCGTGAGGCCCTGAGAGCAATCTGCAATACTACAAAAAAAACCTAATCGTAGAGGTCATAAACATCTTAGTGCCCTTATCTTGAATTGTGCTTGTGACAGAAAAACTCATTAGTTGTGATGTCCATCTTAAATTGGGGAGACACCACTGCTCGCTCCAGGTGTGCAATGACTGACAGTGGTGTCCACCCATCCCCCCTAGCTTACTCAGAGCAGAGGTCCTCCCAAAACTGAAGGTATTGTGTGTCTACATGTGTATATCTTCTGGGGGAAGAGCCCATCAGTCTTCACAAATGTAGTCACAGACCTCCATGTAGATGGGGGCTTCGAAAATGGTTTTTGCTTGTGACCCCTTTTTACCCTAGAAACTTATGCAACCTCAGGTGTAAAGATACATTTACTGATAGTAAATCATTTTTGTGTATGAGTGTTTGGCCTGGACATATGTAAATGTACACATGCACTACCCATGGAGTCCAGAAGAGAATGTTGAATCTCCTGGAACTGGAGTTACAGTTGTTAGCCTTTATGTAGGTGCTGGGAATACAGACCTGGGTCCTTTGCAAGAGCAGCAAATGCTCTTAACTACTGAGCCATCTCTCCAGCCCCAACTGATAACAAATACATCTTAAATTTCTTTCGAAACAGTTCTTTGGTATATATAATTTTACCAATTAATATATTTGCGTACTAATAAGATGGATGTACCTGCTTATTTTTGCATGAAGAGGGAAATCTACCTAAGTGCTAGGCACTGGGATGTAGAACATCCTCAAATATCTGAGAGTTGTCACTATTTTGATTTTATGGCTCTCAGTACTAAGAACACTTTTGCATAAATACATAGTACAAAAGGCAGAAATATGTTTAGGGTCATTTCAGAAATTTGAAATGCTGTTCTAATCCCAAGTCAAGATTCATTAAATGATACTTTTTTTTAATGAAGCTCAGGTTAGCAACTCAACTTTAAATTTTTTTGGTTTATTTATTTTTATTTTATATGTTTAAGTGTCTTGTCTGCATATAAATGTATCATATACATGTAGTGCCTATGGAGTCCAGAAGAGGGCATTGGATTCCCTGGAACTGAAGTTAAGGATGGTTGTTAGCCATCATGTGGGTACTAGGAACCGAACCCAGTCCTCTGCAAAAGCAGCAAGTGTTCTTAACCACTGAGCCATCTCTTCAGCCCCAGCTTTTTTTTCTTTTTTGGTCTTTTTGAGACAGAGTCTCCCTGTAGCCCCTCAAACTCACTATGTAGACCACGGTGGCCTTGAACTCACAGAGATCTACCTGCCTCTGCCTCCCGAGTGCTGGGATTAAAGGTATACACTACCACGTCCAGCCCAACTCAGCTTTTAAACAGCAAGCTTTAAAATTAAACATTCCAACACAGTATAATCCAAGATGAATAACTGATATGTATAAGCTGAGGAATGATGGTCGGAAAATATGACTTTTTTTGTCTATAATTAAACCACTGTGTTTCTAACAGCAGAAAGTGTTGTTATGTGCAGGGAAAACACTACAGTTGATAACATGTACTAGTCTCAAGTCAGAGGCCAGGTGCTTCAGGCCACATTTGAGGCATTGCATGGTTCAACAGCAGGCGTACACAGTACAAACTGTACACGTTATGTTCAGAACCAAGGCTGCAGTGGTCACATGAGGAGGCATGGGTGAGCCCTGCCAGAAGCACCCTGGGTTCCTTATACATTTGTATTGAATTAATTTTTTGTCATTTCATGTTCATAAAGCTTGTACTGTTGAAAAACTTTTTACTACCTCCTCATTTAGTTATTCGACTCATTAAGACTCCCCCTCCCCCCAATTTAAGAAGCTTTGACGAAGACTACCAGCTGCTGCCTTCCAAGCTGCTGAGCTGTCTGCACAAGGTGGGCTGTGGATACATGACAGGCTAAGTGCATGTGGCCTCCCGCTTCCAGAGCTACAGCTGTAGAAAAAGAAGCAAACCTAGTTTGGTAATTGCGGTGTTTTCTGCCTTGCTGTGATTTATTGGGTAAAATGTTAAAGATGAAATCACTGAATGAAAGTGGCACATGCCTGGAAACTGGGGCAAGAGGATCACAAGTTTGAGACCAGCTGGGTCCCACAGTTCCAGGCCAGCCTGAACTACAAAGTAGTGAGACCCTGTCTCAAACCCCAGAACAAGGGAAAGAAAAAACAGACTTCTCTGGAAAGTGCAGTGCTGTTCTTCCTGGGCAGAAGGCCTGTCTTACAAGCAGCCTCATTTTGTTGGCTTTCTTTTTTCTTCTACATTTTATTTTGTGTGTATGTGTGTGCTTGTGTGTGACGGTGTTGGGGGTCAGTGCTCTCATTCCTTACTATACCATGTGGTTCCCGGGGTGGAACTCAAGTCATCAGGCTGGGAAGCAAGCACCTTTCCAGCTGAGCCATCTCGCTAGCCCCCATCATCTTGTAGGCTTTTTCATGAATACAGTAGTTTCTTACTGTAGAGTGTCAGTGTGTGCTAACTATGGCCATAGACAGGACAGACTATGATAGTGTGGGGAGTAGCTACAGTCTGTTTGCTGACAGCATGGAGAACCCTGCCTTGCTGTCATCATTGTCAAGATAGGAAACCAAACTCAGGATCTCACTGTGGCCCGTTGTGTGCCTCGCCTTCTCTCTCTTTCTCTATTGACATAAATAGTGAGCATGAACATTCCTAAAACAGGAGGGGAACCAGGGACCATAGATACTCTCTTCTTACAGCTTACATAATTAACTCCTGAGTGACTGGCTTGACCACTGCAGTGTTCGCTAATGGGAAGACAGGAAGTAATAGGCCCTGCTCTTTTGGCTTCACTCCTCTGCAGTTGGAGGATCATGTTTCTTGATTGCTAAAGTTGTGTTATTCAGCTCCAGCCCACTTTTTCAGCCGTCCATCATGTTTACCACCTTCCTTTACCAAACAGCTGGGTGTGACTCACCACCAGATTCTTTTACTGATGCTGTGCCCTTTGTAGCAGGGCTATCTTGCCCCTTGGCCTGCAGCCCTAGTCCTCACCTTACCGACTTGCTGGAAGCTGAGAAGACCGCATCTCTCAGACCATCCTCAGACTCATGCTGACTTTTGGCTTCAGCAAGCAAGCTTGCATGGAAAGGCCACACCATTACTATGGTTATTGCTTCAGGGCTGAGTTTCTAGAATTGAAAAGGTTTTGCTAGTCTTTGTTCATTACAGCTTTGCCCACTTCTAGCGTTGTGAGTGCTGCTGCTGCTTGTCTCTCCTTATAGCAGCAGTTCGCCCTGTGCATTCCTGCTGAATGCTCAGGTAAACCATAGCACCTAGTAACATTTGGCTTTTTTCTGCCTCTCAAGAGTCTATAGGTTTGGGAGGGCTTTGGACTACTCCCAAGTTTTCTCTAGTATTTTGCCAAGGAGTAATGGAGACTCTCATATGTGTGTGTTTGCCGACTGCTCAGAGCCTGACCACTAAGCTCAAGTCTCAAGGCTTGTAGCACATAGAAGCAGGTGCGGTGGCTAGGCATAGTGGAGGCTGAGTCCTTGCCCATGGGATAGTCCTCAGTGGTTTGGGGTCAACACAGTGGCTTTCTTTAACATAGTAAGTTGGAGTGCAGGCCTCTACCCTGCCATCCCCTGAGCTTGCAGTGTTTCAGGGTCCATCCAGTGGTAAAAGAACGACTGACTACACATTGGCACTCATTCAAGTGCACAGATCACTCTTGGTGAGAGCCACAGCTCAGGTGCCATGCTAGCCAAGGGTATGGCTCAGTGGTTGAGCACTTAGAATGCTCAGGGCCCTGAGTTCAGTTCCCAGCACTGAAAAAGCAAAAAACAAGGGGCTGGGCAGGGTGGTGCACGCCTTTAATCCCAGTAGTCCGGAGGCAGAGGCAGGTGGATCTCTGTGAGTTCCAGGCCAGCCTGGTCTACATAGTGAGTTCCAGGCCAGCTGGGGCTACAGTGAGACCATCTCAAAAAGATCAAACAAATAACACAAAAACAAAATCAAGCATAGTGGCACACTCCTGTAATCCCAGCATTTGGACTAGAGAGATGACTCAGTGGCTAAGAGCACTTGCTCCTCTTTCAGAGTACTCGAGCTTGGTTCCCAACACACATTTTAGGCAGTTCACAACTGCCTGTACTCCAGCACCAAGGGATCTACATCAACTTGTGGCCTCCTTGGCCACCTGCTCCCATGTGACATGTATACACACAGACATACACAAACACACACACACACATAATAAAAATAAATCCTAAAATATTTTAAGTAGTCCCAGCACTGGAGAAACTGAGGTGTGAAGACTGGAAATTCTAGACCAACCTGGGCTACATAGCAAGACTCTATCTCCAAAGAGTAACAAAAAACTCTCTACCTGTGGCCAGATCTGGTTGCAAAGGCGCTATGAAGTAGTCTAGCTGTATACCCAGGAAGACGAGGACATGGGGTTTGAATGAGTAACCCCAGGCTCTACTGCAGTGTCATAGTCCAGGGAAAGCAAGGGCAAGCAGAGTGCCGCCTCATGCTGCAGAGCTCCGTGAGTGATGTTTAATCTAGCTGTTTTGTGATGAATTCATGTGTTTCGTTTTCACTTTTGTTCTCTTTCAGTCAACAAAACGGAATATCCCCATGCTCTTTGTCCGGGGAGATGGTGTTGTTCTGGTTGCCCCTCCGCTGAGAGTTGGCTGAGACAAAGAATTGAGCTTGTATAGGAAATTGGAGACGTACAGTTGCCTCTTCAAATCTACAAAGAGAGAAGCCTGCACACATTTTGATAGTAAGAATTGATCTAAGGATTCTTCCACCCTGAAAAAATTCATTTTGCAAGTAACTCACAACTTCTTAAGCTAAATGTCATTTTCAGTTTTCTTCAGCCCTCCAGTAAATGTAACCCCATGGTGCCCTTCTTCAGGAATCAGTTTGCCCCGTTGTTCTTGCAGTTAGTTTCTGATGGTTTTTCTTTAAATTAAATTTGATGTTCCCTTTTTTATTTTGTTTTAATGTGTCTCCTGTGAATTCTTCAAGCATGTCTGGCTTTCACTTTGTCCACGTGTGTAGTATGTCTCCTATGTTTAAAGCACCAAGTTGTGTGTGAAGAAGGAGAGTTTTGTTAGTTTGCTCCCCGCCCTCATCATTGGGAGGGGGCATTTGACAGCAGGCAGTGCCTGTCTAGGGAACCCTGGGAGCTCAGGGCTAAGCACCCCAGTGAGAACTAGGCTGGAGGGGAGGCAATGGTGATGGGAAATGTTCACATTTTTGTAGGACACAAAGCACAGTTCTGCTCCCAGTGCTTTGCTGTTTCATGACTCTAAAGAAACAGTTTACCAATCTTGAATCACAGACCATCAGTGACAAGAAGTCTAAACAGTCTGAGCAGGAAGTGGCTAAACACACAGCTATTTTAATTCTAGCTTCAGCCAGCAGCACTTGAGGCAGCACGTACAGGACAGGGCTTAGAACCCAACACTCCACTACATAGTTAACACCATTCTAAAATGCAGAAAATTGTGCTGGGATGTTATCTTGGCGATAAAATGCATGTCCAGCATATTAGGGCCTGGGGTTCTGACCCCAACAACACAAAAAGAAAAGTATAGACAGTTTGCACTGTGGAAGATTGTCTATAAACATGCCCGGTATGTTTGCTAATCCGTCGTCAAGTACAGCATGTTCACATATGCTCTGAGCAAACGTCATGTTAGAGGTTTTGTTTTTATTTTTGTACCTGTCCCTGCAAGTTAGTAGAGAAAAACAAGTGTGGGTGAGCCAGTGAAGGTTTGATGTTAGATGAGTAGGCAGGACAGACCCCTCCCTTCACTCTGGCCACCCCCACACTGTACCCATTCTTTAGCTGTGCTGGGAGCCAACCTGTTTTATAACAGTCTGTTCCCTGGAAAACACAAATCCTAAGTGGCCATTTCTTAGGATCCTCCTTTCTGAGTAACAACTTGACCAAGTGGTAACAACAGTAGCCATAACTCATTGAACAGCATGCCTCCGGCAAAGCCACTTTGTATGCATATTCATTCATATGTGGGGGTCCTCGCTAGTCCTACAGTCTTAAAAGAAGCAAATCAGAAAGCTTAAGTCACAGCTAGTACTGGTATGTGGCAGCAGGATGTGACCCTGCCAGGCTCTCATGTGAGTATGTGGTATGGGTAGTTGGCAGAGGTCAGAGCTCTGGGTAATGAACTGGCTCCCAGTGTCCACCATAGCTAGCTGCGGTTATATCTTGCCACCTGGCCCCTACTCTGCCTCATTCAAGTCTGTATTGTGTGTCTTTTTAGACATTTCTGATGCTCGGGTTTGATGCCTGGTTACTTCTTCAGCTGTCCTTAAACATCCTCTTTTTCTCTTGAAATTGATAGATTACACTAGAACTTTTGACTGTGGAGACTTACTTTATACAGGTTTCTAAACCTAAGAACACTAAAATTTGATGCACCTCTTACTCAACTGCAACACAGACATCCCCTCATCTTGGTGCTGAGACAAAAGATGAAAGCAATAAAGATTATAGAATAACCCTCTGTTACAGAGTCGAGAGACCTGAGGCAGCTTGAAATTTGTAAGCCCCTTTAGATCTGGCACTTAGTCCTCGCCAGGGACAGCTCTAGCAGAGACCTGCCACAGGCTTCATCGCAATGCTTCCTCTACAGGTCTTCGGGGGTACTGTCCAGGCTGTGTGGCAGAGGGCCCCTGGCAGCCATGCCTTGGACTTCTGAGGCCAGGAGTGCTCAGCTGGATGGCCTGTGCTCATTGTTACTGGTGCCTCTTGGCTTCTATAATGTGTCTGTCACAGAATATGAAATGTCCCCCACAGGCTCATGTATTTGAATACCTGGTCCCCAGCTGGTGATGCTCTTTATTTGGGAGGCTGTAGCATCCTTAGGGTATAGTTGGGGGTTTTGCAGGGGGTAATGTTCTGTAGTCCAGCCCTGCTTCCTGTCCTCTCTGCTTCCTGATCACCCATGCAGCTTCATGCTCCTCTGTACAGCTAACCTGCTGCCACCACTATGCCTTCCCTACCATGATGGGTGTATCCTCAAACCATGAGCCTAAATGAATCCTGTAAACTGCTGCTTCTTGTCAAACGTGGTCACAGCAAGAGAAAAGTAACTGATACAGTGTCACTCAGCTCAGGGAAGACTTAGTAGCAGATGTCACACCTGGATCTGGATTGGTCATTTCATGAAAGAGACCATCAGGAATTGTCCTTGCCTCCCACAAAGACAGTGTGGTGAGCCATCTTGAAGTGAAATGTGCCCCACTTGAAACTTACGTAACTTGGTATGCCAAGTTAATCTGAAATCATTATAAATGGAACATTTCAAGTGCCAAATTTTGAATTTTCTGCCCAGATGAAAGTTACCATCCCTCAAGAGAAAACAAACGAACTGGTTCCCACAACCTTTAATGTCCTCTCACTCTCAGAAGATCTGAGCTGTTTGCTTACATTGCTCTCAGCTGCTGCGGGAGAGGAGCATTAGCTCCTGTGAAAGCTGCCAGCTGTGAGCAGAGCTCACCTGTGCTGAACGTGGAACATACTGAAAACTCCAGGAGCAATCCTGGCTAGAGTAGGAAGCACAGGGATTTCTGTTGTTTAAAGACTTTTTTCTAGTTCCCTGTCTAGAACTTGTAATGATAATTACTCTTGCCTTTACTTCTTCCCATCTCCTATTCATGATTCAAGGACTTTCTTAGAGACAAGAGTTATGCAATTTGGGAGTCTTTTTAGAAAGACCCACTGAAGGGGTACGCCTCACCCTTCACCCTGCATCCCTGTTCAGCCTGGAAGAAGCCAGAGGGTCTGCGTCCCTATTCCCTATTGGCGATTTGGGTAACCTCTTCAGAGGATGGTGTGATAAGAACAGGACGTAGGAATTGGCTAGGCAGTTAGGGTAAAAAGACCCCAAAGAAATGTAGCCCGTTTCTTGGCTAAAAGTCAAAATGTCCTTGGGCCTGTTAGCAACATACTCTGTTCCAAAGGCCAAAAATGTCAAAAGTATTTGGGAGCTTGTATCTAATCCTTAAAAGCTATTAGGGTTACCTCTTCAGAAAGGGGAATGTTGAAGGGGAAGGAGTGGGCATGGATTAGATCAAAACACCTTATATGCATGTATGAAATTTTCAAAGTTTTTGTAAATTTTTTTAAAGACAATAAAAAGTTGATTATATACATATTGTATTTCAGAGAATATTGATAAAGTTAATGACAGTTTTATGGCTTTCATAAAGAATACACACAATCTTTACCATAATTTTTCTGTGGTCATATCTTTGGGAGTAAAGTTCAATTTAGTGTTAAACTAAAGAAAAGTTTGCAAGTGGCTAAAATAAAAATATTCTATTGCTGGAAAAAAAAAAAAAAAGAAAGAAAAGAAAAAAGCACAGGTGTTCCTGTCACTCAGCTCTGCTGTCTCCGTGGATCTCTGCTTGGACAAGGCCTCCCTCTGACAAATCCAGACTTCCCTGTACCCATCCTTGGGCCTGAGCAGGATGCTACATCTCAGCTATTGGAGTGGATCTCATAGGAATCCCCCAGGAAGGGGCCCTGGGAGCTGGGGGGCGGGAGAAAATGCATGACATGTAGGGATGACAACTGGCTCTGAGTTCTTGAAGAATAACTGGGGCATTAGTAGTAGCAGATTTCTTGGAGCACAGCGATATCGAGTGATTGCTGTGGAACCTCAGAGGCTCTGGAGCAGACTAAGGGGGACTCGAGGTGAACAGTGCTCAGGCTTCCATGACTGGACTGGGCCTGACTGCAGCAGGAGAACTCCAGGAAGGACTCCAGTCTTGCACTTGGGGTGGGGGTGCTAGGCTGGGAGTAGGTATTGGGTTCTTCAGAGCTTCTGGGGAGAGCAGAATACTTGAATGAATAGTTGAACATTGAACCCCACCAGATAAATGACTGTTCACAGTCCCTGACACAGGGCCTGCCTCCATCAATGCTGAGTGAGGGAAGATTAAATGACACCAGGGCCACAGTGCTTTGTGACCCACATTGCAGGCAGAAGGGGCAAATGGCCATTCGAAAGAAGGCGAGCTGTGTACAGTCTTCCAATACCGAGGTCCTCTCCAATGCCCAGCAAGGTTTCCCTCCCATTCACCCTTCAACCATGTTCCTGCTACCATGTGTTGAGGCTACAAGCTGGCGCCAGCTTTGAATGCCTAACTAGGCATCAGCTTACATGGAAAACACCAAGAAACTAAAAGTTTTCAATCCCTGCCAGTCCCGTTGCTCAATTCTAATAGAGCAGAGCATGTCCGTTCTTATTTCCTTGGCTGCTGCTTAAGTTTCATGGGTGTGGAAACAGCATGCCCCACTGCGGTTTCTGATATTGATTACCCCAGAGGAATTTTTTTCTTAATGTTCTTCCCACCCACCTACGGTGCCATGGTGATCCAGGCTGAGGTGTTGACAGGAGCCCCCCAATTGCCCTTAGTGGGTTGGGAAACCTCCCGTGGAGGATCTTGCAGTGTCACGGAGTCAGATAACCTAGCTTCAAATTGCGGCTGTGCCACGTGCCAGCCAAGCAGATGGAGTGCCCTGAGGGTGGATGTGAGGATAAGAAAGCAGCGAGTGAGCAGCCCAGGACAGCGCTGGAATTTTACTGGCACATCCTCCCCAGGTTAGAAGTCACAGGGGTGGAAGCAGCGCTGAAGCCGTGCAGTGGGCTGTCACACATCCATCTGGCTTAGTCCAGCTGCCCCTGCTCTGTCTCCCTGAGTAGTTTTCAGGAGAGTAATTTTGGCTTTGAGATGATTTGATTCATTCAAGTGAAATTATTTCATAAGGACTGAGGAGATGTTCAGTTGAAGTGCTTGCCACATGAGCATGAGGCTCCAAGAGCTCAGATCCCAGCACCCATGTGAAAAGACAGGCAGGTGACACACTATAAACCTAGCACTGGAACAATCCCTGGCGCTTGCTGATCAGCTAGTCCTGCTGAATGGGTGAGCTCCAGGTTCAGTGACAGACCCTGTCTCAAAAAATA